GTCTACTGAAATGGAGCTATTTGGCCTTTCACCCTTCCATCATAAAGCATCACACATCATCATCACCTAAACTTCTTGTCCAGAAAAACATGATGGATATTGCCATACCATGTCATCATTCTCAAATTTAACGTCATAGACAGTGCGTTTGGCAGTGAGCTTTCTATCTTTGCCTACGCAAAGCTTGCTCCTAACTTTTCACTTGCGTCGGATTTCTTCGGAGGTTTGTCACAATCAACAATAATTGGTTTATATTTCAATCAAGAACAAATTAAGGAATGCAAATGATTTACTTCACCGTGCCAGATTAAAAAACTTGGCTATAGTAACGTGGTCTCAACTTGTTTCACCCGTCCGCTCACATTCTTGTGGTATTTTTGTTGGAGGTTACAACCACCTTTCAGTGTGTGCCTTGATCAAGCACTCAAATTACATTGTTGGATAAACTACTGTCTATTCACCTATACTTGTATTTATAGTATTTATGCACTGTATATTATTTGAACACGATGCCCTTAAAGAACTCGTTTGGCAAAAATATCGATGGCGTCTTTGGTTGTAAGAGAGAAAATATCGTCTTGTTCGTCACAAAAAGAAAGAAGAAAATTGACAATAAAATAACTAATAAAGAACTTCTATACGAGTACGAATCAAATCGACACCCTCTGTGTGGCAATCAGGTGTTCTACTCCAGAGGTACGCTAATGGTCGAAACTGCCGATTCGAACAAAAAAAAAAAAAAAAAAAACATGATGGTCATGTAGTAGAAGTTCTCAATGACATTTTGCCTAAACAAAAAAGCGAGGGCTTAAGTTTACACTTCTTTAGTTCATGTAGTAGAAGGAATCTCTTTTTTAATGCATGCAATATTAAGAGATAGAAGCGTAAAATTGCACCAGGCATCAAAACATGTGAAATGTGCAATGAGTAGGTGTTTTAAAGGCCTACCTATGACAGAGCGCTCAAACATAAGTTCGCGTCTTGCCTTATGCAAGCGTAGAGGGCCCTTCGCAAATTGGTGTAGTTGACACTTGACAATTGTACTTTCAATAGACATTCTACAATAGTTTGAAAAGCCCAGTGTTGCACGCACAGTCGTTTGTTCCCTCATGGCATGGTCGAGGCATACACCGAGATCGTAGCTAGTCTAGCAATTGAGATGATGATGCGCACAGTGTCCGATTACGCTATTGTGGTCTACTCTTGAAGGCGAAGCTTAAGCATCATCCAAGTTTTGTAATTGCTGTGTTTGCTACTGCTCTGTAATTGTTTCACACAATATATCCATAATACTCAATGGCGTCACCTCTGCCGTGTCCGCCAACTGCTGCCCCATGTAATAATAATAATAATAACAATAATGGAATGATAATTTTCATTTGCACAACAATATGAACTCTTGGGTAATGCGCAAGGCTAGAGAGAAAATTTTCGTACGATTGTCCGTCTGCTGATCCGTAACCGCAGGGCAAAAGATACGGGGGGTTACATATATGGGCTCCTCAAGCTGCTTATAGTAGCTTTTATCCTGGCGCCTGCCGCTCTGTGACCATGTTTACAAAAAAAAAAAGAATAAACAAACAAACAAGTAGCGTGAAGCAGATTCGTGATCGTGGTTGTCTCTGATAGAATGTAAGTGGGCGAACCTTACTGTAAATAAATTTGCTCCTCTTTGGTACGCTTCATACACTACAAACACGTTTTCGCACAAGAAACTACGCTGTCTCAAGAACAGCCCAAGAAGTGACATGTGAATACAGTCCCCCATTCCCGTTGCCTGCTTGCATCGCTGCCGCTGATAACAACACACGCGCCCCAAGCCACGGGAGCAAAATCAGACTTCACACCACTAGTTCTCGTGGCTGCCATGCGGCCCACCTCCCCGGGGGTGCTTTAAAAGTGAGTTTATTCTAATAATGTTGGTTACATGCACTCTTACACATCAGAACACAGCGAGCCCAATACGTGCTGCCTTATCTAGAATGTGCGTCACGCCAGCTGTTGCAAATGCAGTGTGGCAATACTCTGAACTGCTACACAAGCAGACGCTCTGCAAATCAAACTCGAAACTTACCCCCCGAGTCCGGCTGTAAGCATGTTTCGTGCTTCTCCTCTCCTGGAATTTGATGCTGTTTTCAAGTGAAACATCGAGAAATGTATACAGCGCGTGCATTGCAGTCTACGGATGCAACTTAATCAGGTACGTGCTATTGCGATGGAAAGAAACGGGAACAGCAGAAAGCGTTGCTTTCGACTCGGTCAATTTGCGGCATGGCTTGGCTGCAGCAAGGCGAAACTAGCCCTGGAAGTCAGCGTCACCGTAGCACTAGAATCCTGCTCCGGCTTGCGCTCATGCACCACATGTGTTGCCGAAGGCACATATTCGTCTAGCAACAGTTTAGGGAGGTCTTGGTTCGATTTGATTGAAAGCCACGCTTTCCGCTGTTCATATTTCTTTGTATCGCGATAGTACCTGTTACAATTATGCTTGCACGGGTGAGTCATAGTATCTTCTATTATTGGCCAGCGGCCTGCAGAAAAGTGTGGCATCCTGCATGCAAATCACTGCTGTAGAGTGAAACAGCTGTTGTCGCACTTGAATAAACAAAGTGAGTGTATTTACTGACACACTTTTACAGGGCTCTTAGCTTTCGTGTTGTTAGTTGATTGCAATTATCTACTGGTGCCGGAGCTCAGTGTTTTTTATACTGAGGTGAAATCTGTGCAATCTGAAAACACTGCACTGGCACAATTCCCACGTCATGTTTTAATGTTCACAGCCAGTGCTGAGTAATATCTTCCTCTTGCACTGACTGCTTTTGCAACCAAAGACCGCGTAATGATGCCCAGACGACTTATAAGCGGGAGTGGTGCGAATAGGCCCTTCTTCATACTTTAAAGTTCCAGAGACGCTGCTTGCTGTGTTAGCTTGGCGCCACAGATACACGCCTTGGCAGTTCCAAACAAGATGGTGTCTGTGTGCGAGAGTATGCCGTCGGTAGCGTAGGTGCCTGGGTGTGTGATAGGCATGTTCAGGTCTATAATGGGCGTTTAAAGTTAAGCTTCATGGTTTTCTTAAAAATCAGCACTAAGAAGAACAATAAAAAAAGCTTTGCAGATGACTCGTATATCCAAGGGGACACAAAGTGAGACAATAATTGTTGCTGTTAGCGGCCAAATGAACAAAAATTTAATGAGTAACTTTTAAATGATTGCAGCAAGCAAGCATGAATGTATTGAAAAGTTGGGGGCAGTTGGGGTTGTACATACTTTCACATGGAAGCATCTTTTTAGCATATTCGTGATCAGAGATGACCTGCTGCAATGTTTATTTGCAGTTTTCATGATTAAGTATGCAGAGCGGTAAGGATTGGCTCAGTGTTCTTCCCCAATATGACGAACGGACATTGCTTGCTATCACCTGCCAATAGTGAAAGGGTAACTATCATTATCTGTACTTTTGCCACGTTGGCAGATGCCCCGCTGCGGTGGCCTAGTGGCTAAGGTACTCGGCTGCTGACCCGCAGGTCGCGGGATTGAATCCCGGCTGCGGCGGCTGCATTTCCGATGCAGGCGGAAATGTCGTAGGCCCGTGTGCTCAGATTTGGGTTCACGTTAAAGAACCCTAGGTGGTCGAAATTTCCGAAGCCCTCCACGGCGTCTCTCATAATGATATGGTGGTTTTGGGGTGTTAAACCTCACATATCAATCAATTAATTAGTCACGTTGGCAGATTAAACGTCGCAGTCAGGGCAGATCGGGGATGAGCTTTACGCCAGTGCTGACTGTCTGACATGAGCAATCATGTCAACCGCAGTTAAACTTTGCAGCAGAATATCTCTGAGCGCCAACGTTTTTGAACAATTCATCCAAGTAAAACTGTGTATAAATGCATTTGTCTCCAATTTTTCAATACGAACATACGCACTCTCTGTAGTCGCTGAAAAGTTACTCGTTCAATTTTAGTAAATCGGGTAGCAAACAGCGATAATTATTGTCTCCCTTTGTGTCCCCCTGGATACGTAAGCCCAAGTGCTGATTTCTAAGAAAACCATAAAGTTCAAGTGTGAGCACCATGTATATGTCGATTCGTTCATATATTAAATTTCAAAATTTAGAATAATTTAAGTTCAGTTCAAAGCGAATGAGAATACTACAATACTCGTTCGGAAATGCATAGTGCTTGAATATTCACACATGCCTACTTCACTGTAATGGACATATAGTGCTGCATCTATTTACAACACTCTATCAAGCAAGTGTGTAACTTGCTCTTTCATAATTTATAGATAGCTTTTAATACAACTGTACCTCCTAGCCAGTAAATTGGTTGCTTTTCTTGTGTGGCCTTCAGTGCTTTTCTTGTGTGGCCCACCGGTTTGATGGCTTTGGTGGTCAGTGGCTTGAGGCCTGAACTGTTTGGTATGACAATACCACCACCACCACCAAGCAGCCATCATCGAGAAAAGCAAAGAAGCCTTCCCTTCAAGATATTGTAGGTGGCTGATGCAAAGGTTGATGGCACTCTGCTTATTGTTTGCAGTTAGTGCTCACTCTTTTGTGTAACAGCTCAAAATAAAGCATTCGAATGACAAAGTAGGGACATTGGGCATGAATGTTCCAAAGCTGAGGATCTGTTAACGGTGGAGAAGGCTACTTGAGAGAGGTACGGAGCCTTGGTGTGCAGTGTTGTGGGCGACTGTGCTGTTGGTACAGTATGTACAGTGCTCATAGATTGAAGCATTTAGTTTAATCACATGTATGCGCACTTGTTCAAGTTAACCATATCATGTCGCTTTGAACCTGGCCACTAAAAGTAATGTTGACTCCGATTTAGTGGTTGAGTTAAAAGTTACCCCAATGTGATGCAAACTGAAGACAGTGAAAATTAAAGTATGCGCTCATTACTTAGTAGCCCTAAATGTTTCTGTTTCAATCCATGAGCGCCATACGTGCAACAGTAAGCTAAGAAGTGGACGAGTGGATTTCTATTCTTTCAGGGTCAAGAAAGGCCATCGTTGCCACTGTGGGAAAAGTTACAAGACTGCGCAAGGCCTGAGGGCACACTCGCTCTCCCAGCACCCTGCCGACTCCTCCCAGCCGGCCAGATACTCAGATTTCTCCTCGGCTCTCAGCTCCGGTAGTGGGGGTCATGTGTCGACGTCGCGACTGCATGGTGGCCCACTTCCCATCATGTCTCCAACGCTGCAGCAGCACCTGTTGAGCCCTCTGGTCATGAGGCCGGCCGTTGCGTCGACCTTCACTTCGGTCAGCGCAGAAGGTTGACACCCTTCGGTGGAAGCGATACAATGTTTTGTGCTTTGGCACTGGCATCTCTTCGTGACGAGTGGACCGATGATTTACGTGGTGCATGTGCAAGATCAAGTTGGCAACATTCTGTCAACCGAATGCCTTCCGTTGTCGAGTTGTTTTGACGCACTGCTCTCTTCTTCTTGTGTTCAGTTTCAATGCTGTGGTTTCGATTCTTCGCAGTGATGTTGGAGATTCCTGCGAAAGCTCGTGTGCTTACAAGCAGCGCTTGAGCGCTATATTGTGTTTTTTTTTCTGCGTAGAACAAAAACGTTTCTATGCTGTCAACACTATGACGGCAACCATGTGGACAAGATGTGTTCTGAATTTATGTAGAAAGGGGCCCCCACTATGAAATATGAACAGTGCAAATCCTGCACGGGAACACACAAAATAAACAACACAGACAAGTGCGCCACTGTATTTTTTTTTTTTTGGTTTTGATGTTTCCGTGTCACTTTGAGCAGCGCAAGACTTTTTGCAAGGGCGTTGATAACTGAGCAGGTCATGCCTAGAAGAGCTTGCAACGTTTCTTTTGTCATTTAAAAGCTCATTCATTGAGAAAATAAACGGGTTACATTGAGAAGTCGTATTGCTGCTGCCTTCAATCTTTTTTTTTTTACAGTACTTGCTAACAAAACGGTAGTTAATCTCTGGGAACATTGCAGGCAGTTTTTCTCTATAGTTGGAGGGGGCTCACACCGTGTGCTAACTAGTATTAGATTCAGTGATCTCATCAAAATGTCCAAACTACTTCTTTTTGGCACTGGTTGTGTTTAGCTGAAGGCAGGCATTTTCTTTTGTATCTTTGTGGCACATGGTGTGAGCATAAAAGGCCTGAGAAATTCAAAGTGAGTTTCAACTCTTTCTGTGAGGCACCGCCCAGAGGTTTGGGCCTTTCTCATGAGTCCTCTAAGTTATGCAAGAGCGAATGTTATTTTTCAAGAATGCAACATGTTGCTGCAGAACTGGTGCAGAGGCGAACCCAGGAGCGTCGTAGAAATCTGGCCATTCTTGGCAACCAGCCCCGTTTGTGTTCTGTTTAGAGCTTAAGAAACAGTGTTCCTTTACTCTGCTGTGAGCAATATTTAAAGTGCACTTTGTGTGGCCTTGTTGCATTTCAAGCACAAATACACACATCCTAGTGGCCTATATCTGTAAACGCAATTCCTGTCCATCCCTAGTAAAAACATTAGGCTAGCCCTCTGAAACTCAAATCTGATAGCTTCCCTAGTGTTCAACTGCCAACTGTGCACTTGTTACTTATGTTTTCATCCGTGTCTTTTCTCAACCCATTTTGTGTTGCTCAAGGGTAACGCTTTCAGTCTAAGTGCATGGCTGCTGCTGATTAAGTTCAGTGCGGCCTAGCATAATTAATTTTTTTTATTTGTACAGAAATGTTGCACAGTTTGGGCAGTTTCTGCAAACGTTGCGCATATTTCATAAGAATAGTACAAAAGAAACACTGGGAATCATTGAAATGCATGATGTGTGTTTTTTCTGCTTGGATGTTTGGAACCCTTAGCTTACAGCTAAAATAAGCTCGTGCTTGCACCCTTCTACCTAGAAGCCGAGGTTGCATTGTTACAGGCTTTGAAGCACTGGTCCAATATGATCACTCCTCGTGATTTGAGACATGCTCGAACAAAACCTGCAGGCGATGTCGCAGTAGTGCCCATGGTGGTGTATTGGCTGTGTCGGCACCTACGAAGAGCTTAGTACATGCAGTGAACGACTCTCGATACCGTGCTATGTAGTCAAGTTTCCATACCAACGCATATCCTGCTCTTTTTTTTGTAGACTGAAACTGTCGGTAGAAATAACCGTGCCTAGACCTGACATTCTTCATTTCAGGAGAACAGTTGATATCAAGTTGTCGCGATGTTGTTTTGTCGTCAGGATCTGGCATTGCGGTTTGCACAGCCAAAATGTGCTAGGAAAGTCGCATGTGGCAGATGTATCGTTGGCTACCGCACGTCGTGTGCCTCATTAGACGCTTTCATCATGTATGCTTCCAGAGACAGTAGTGAGATGGGTTTGCACGCTCAAAGTAGGCAGTTTTGAAAGCCTGGCGGCACACCTTTTTGCCGTTCCTGCAGAACTGCGTTAGCGGGTCCTGCTTTGAAAGCTCTGCACCTGTAGAGCATGGACTACAGTCTGTTTTTTGGCATTCAGAACTTGAGACTGGTTGCTCTTAAGGACTCTCTCGCAATTCAACGGAGAATCTTCTTTGATGAGAGTTTGTATCCCAAGTAGCACAAAGTGGGACGAATGTATTGCTGGTTCAACATTGACACTGTATGAGTTTGCATGCTGTGTTCATGCAAGTTGGGTTGATGTGGGAGGTGGTTACCTTGTTATATAGAATAACCTTCAAGGCTTGTAACTCGGGAACATGAGTTGTTTGTTCAGCTAGGATTGTGGAAGTTGTCGCATTTCAAAGGGTCTGAAGTGGATTCTTTGATGTTGAGATTGCTGAGGAATATGCGTGCACTTCAGCCATTGTCACCTTGCTGCATGTTACCTGTTGCTGGAGGTGTCCATTTTTAGTTAATTCTACAGCAGTGTTGGGGGCATAGCTAAAAATTTCTTTTTTTGTACCAAAGATACCCGGTGAATGTCATGTGTTCTTTTTGTGTATGTGGTTGTAGTGTTCCCAAGTTTTGTTTTTAAAAGAATGTTTCAAACCTTTCACCGTCTGCTCGCAGTGTTCGACATTGAGAAATGCTTTTGCCCAAATGGCTGTTGGAGTAGTGCAATGTCACGCATACATGTATGTGGCAAGTCCGCACTGTTAACTGTAATTTTCGCTTTTTCTGTTTTCTTCAGTGATCATTTTCAAGGTCACACACTACTTCTCCTTTCAGCACCGTTGTCTCCTGTGTAGCTGTTCTGTCATTATTATGTTGTTTTGGCACTGGCTAGTGTTTTCCACAGCACCAGTGAGCAAAAAATAACTTGAAAAATAAAAAAAAGCTCTACCTCTGTGATGCTTTCTGTGTGCCCTCTAATAAGTTATGGGCATTGTTTGGGAAGAACAGCATTAGTGTGTAGTCTACAATATTTTTGCTAACATTACAGGCCTGTTAATCTTTTGTCACATCATGTTTATTAGTTTAAAGAAAGTTAACAATGTTACCATGTTATATGTTAAAAAAACCTGATATATGGATAATCTTTGTGACTTAATTGTTCGCTCAGTATGAAAAATACAAGTGCAGAATAAATTTACATAATAATAATTGTTATTATTATCTAAACTTAATCTGCACTTGTATTTTCAGAAAAGTTCTATTTTGTAGTGTATTTTCTGTTCTGCGTGGGGACATTAGTTTCTTGGGTAAGGTGGAATACATCGGAGGTATTCTTTCCCCGCAACAGAGCTCTATCGAACTGAAGTTCCTTGATAAAAGACTTGGTGCCATCTGTTCCAGCACAGTCTCTTTGCAACCCCCTAGCAGACGACGCAGCCTGAAACGTTTCTCAATCTGCTGTAGACAGACGGCACTACTTTTGATTTTACCAAGGAACTTCATATTGGCATGGAATCAGGGCCTAACACGTGTACTTTAGTTATATTTGATGAAGCTAGAAATTGCTGCATCCAGAACTTTGACATTAGCCAGTCCGATTGAGCCAGCCTTAGCAGGCTCTGTTATGATGGCAACATTCCATATCTCAGCGCACTTTGTGCTGCATCTTTAGCTTCATTGTTTCAAAGAATCTCGTAGCTGCAGTTATCTTTAGTTTTTCTCACATTGCCTGTCGAGGAAATTCATAAAGCCATCCTACTTATGGCTAATTCTTGTTCTGCCTAGCTGTGCCCTGTACGTAATATTGAATTACACTCTGTTTTGCATTTATGTGGCCTTTATGTCCTCCACAGTATGTAGGTATAGGGCTATCTTGCCTCTTCATTTGAATTTCTTCCTTTCTTGCATCATTTCGTTTTTAAAAGAGGATACCAGTTTTTATATTGGCATGTCTCTTGTTCGGCAGTGTTCACTTGTTCCACTTTGGTTCCAGTTGGAATTTCTCGTAGCTGCTGCTTGAGCTCCCGTTGTGCCTGTCAGGCTACCTGTGCAGTCCAGACATTGCTATTTTTGATAACAGTTTGTATAAGGTAGAGTCTAATTGCAGCACAGACTGCTTTCAGCAGAAACACATAAATAGTGGTCGAAAGAAATATTTAAGGGGATTCTGAAGACGACTTCTGCCAGCTAAATTTTTTCTCAAATTGAAAGCTTTAGTGACGATACTTGACACAATGTCGTTTTCAGACAGAAACTGGCAGAAAATAATTATTCCATTGCATTTTTTCAAACTGCGGTATCTGGCGACCGCACCGTGAACAAGTCGTTATGTTTAACTCAGCGGAAAAGGGTATGCTAACCGCGATTGCTGCGTAATCACTCACTTATCGGCGTTGCCGGCCGTCATTCGCTTTTTTCAAGCTGTCTTGCTTCATGTACGGCACTTGGAACCAGTACAAATAGTAGCAAAGCGTGCCTCCAGGCAGGGCCCACCTGTGCAGGAGAGTGGTGCGTTATGGAGAGGCAGAGAAGTAGCACAAGAGAAAAGCCCTGCTATCGCCACTATACCACCCGCCACGGTATTCAACGCGCAGCTCCACATGCTCTGGCATGCAGTCACCGCAATCTGTGCTCGCAATCTTCCAAGGTTACCGCCATCTGTTCAGAAATATGTGAAATAAACACTACTTATTGGAGCGGTCACACCTTCCAAGTGGACATTCGATGCTTTCGTTCAATATTTCTTTAAAGAAATCATTTGTGGAAGTTCAAAGGTTAATCTCCACCATTATAAAACATGACTGTTGTGAAGCTTCTTCAAAAGATTGTGTGTTACATTTGTGCAAACACCCAAATTACATTAAAATCTCAAATGCTGCCAAAGGCCTATTTGTTCCTTGTATCAACGAACTAATTTTAGGAATGCTTTCACCCTCGTTTTTGTTACCTTTGAATCGGTTTTTCTGTGGAATGTTTTCCTTGCGTCCTCTGTTTACCAAGATTTTTGAGAGCTGCTAATATGAATTTGAGTGTCCATAAAGGGTGTCATTAAGTAACACTACACTTAGTCACTAGTGATTGCACAAATAAATTCTGTGCAAAGATAATTCATATGGCTCAGTATTCTGAGCCCCAACTTCACAGCTAGCGCTCACAGATTCAAAATGGGGAATGACTGACATTGTTAATGACATATTGTTGCTGCAGAATCTGTACTGGTAGCCTTGAGAGCTTGCCAGATTGTATTTATAACTGGATTTATGATGTTCTTGTGTTTAAAACCTTTTGAATGTGAATGATAGTTTGGTACTAACATTAAGAATTTAGCATGATGTGTTTTTCATGCCTTAGCATTTTAGTCATTTTTGCTGTGAACTAAATGCAAACAGCAAGTGAGCTGTGCAGAGTGAATAATGTACACAACACAGATTGTGTACTCTTTTTTTTTTTCTGGGAACTGGACAGTCAATGTATAAAAAAAAAGAAAATGTTGCAAAGATACGGCAATAAAGAATTGGTTGCACATTCAGCGTGTTCATTGGCATGCAGTAAATAAATGAGACTATGCAGACGTCATAGCTGCAAGTCTCTTGCAAAATCTGTTTTATTACTGTAAACTAGTTCTCTTCCTTTGTTATTTTTGGCTAAGTGTGGTTTTTACTCATGCCGGACAAAGCTTTTTGTAATGGATGTGGTATTCCAGTGATGTACTCTTTTATGGTGTGGTGAAAATCTTGACTTTCACGCTTATTGATTCTGTTTCTTGGCGTATTGTCCTGCCAAGTTGATCCAGCAGTTATGGTGCTCGACTGCCGAGCCACAAGTTGCCAGACAGAATCTGCATTTTCGATGGAGGCAAGAACTCTTGAGTCTGTGTACTTGGATTTAGGTGCGTGTTGAACAACCCCGGCTGGTCGAAATTTCCAGGTCTCTCGTAATTATATGGTGGTTTTGCGATGTTTAACCACACACATCATCCTTTGTGTGAAACTTGCCTTGCGGTGTAGCTCTTTGTTCACGTTAGTGAAATGTATGTTTCAGCAGCAGTCAAACATGTATATGGATAAGTAGCATGTCTACGAACGGACGACAAACTTCATGGAAGCCTTGTCGCCATAGCGACAGGCCCATTCTATTGTAGCAGGGTAACTGCACTCCTAAACGGTCAGTCTGACAGACCAGCCACAGTCTACAGTCAACTGCTGATTTTTTGGACTTGAAAACTTGCACACCTTCGTGCCACTGCCACAAGCCCCTTATAAAGAAAGTAGATTGAGACTGTCTCAAATTAAAATATTATTCTCCTGCTTAAACTGCAGGTCAGGTTCAAAATGACATTAATTTAGGAAACTGCAGCATTCATCATTTCATAGGCTCATAGGAGTTGATTTGTTGGCAGCTGTAGTACATTTTTTGCAAAACATACCTTAACCCTTTCGGCCCTGGCAGTGTCAATTGACACCACCGCACAACATTTCCCAAAGTATCTAGGAAATGTAACCAATACTACTCATTCTTGGGGGCATAGCTCTTCAATGATCCCCACTGCAATTGTCACCAATATTGTGGCATGTTTGTGAAGGTATCAGCCCAAAAGAAGAAGCATGACCGAGGTCTTCCGTGAAGCCGAGGCGCGTAAGTTGAGGCGGGTAAGCGCCATTTTCAGGACGACGTACCAAAGCTGTTTCAGTGAGTATTAGGCTGAAAAGTAAGACGTTGGTTTCCATTTTGTATACACCATTGATTGGCAGGAAAAAAGAAGCCATTTTTCTCATTTTTCAATCACTGGGCTTTAATCACCTAATTCGATGCCACATTAAGTAATCCAAAAATACTTGTACGAGTGGCTCAATTTTTTGTTTGTGGTCTTTTGAGGTTCTAACTACGAGAAAAACACACACGAAAAGTGTATCCGGCCAAAATAAAAAATCCAGGGCTGAAAGGCTGAAATCCTGTGCCAAAGCACCATGCGGCAAAGCATTCTCAAAATCTAAAGTTAAGAATGCCACTGTCGTGACAGAGTGTTGTGATGCCTTTACGACAAAACACTAGAACCGCGTGGAGGTGCGAAAGTGCAGGTGGCAAACAAGTTTATGCGACTTCATCAATGAGAATTCATTTATTATAAGTCTTTAGGAAACTGCTCAATAGTGCATGTGGCATGGTGCAGTTGTAAGGGTACTGCACGTGAGTGTTGCGAAGTTGCCACTAAAGAATTCGAATGAATCGGGAATCGTTCCACATTTTCGCGACCTCGAAATGTAATGGGGACAAAGCTTGGAAGAATAAAATAGAATTCTTTTTTTTTTTCGGAAATAGAGCAGATCTTCGTTGACGCACGGTCTTTCAAACTTCGGACATTAGCAACTCAGACCCTCAAATTTAACAATAAAGCAGTAATATGAAAAGGCTTGACTGATTACAACCATGGTACATTTATAAGTACCTACTATAATTCTGTCCTTATGCAGACTGTGTTGCTTGGAAGTTTTTTCTCTGTGTGTAACCACAGCTCTAAGCCATGGCACGGCCGCTTGATGAAAAACACATGGTGCTGCCTGCCGCATGGAGCGGATACTGTATGTTCCGCCCAGGGGCTCTGGGCTGCCACCGCGGTGCCACCAGTAGCTGAGTCACCGGGGAGATCGAAAGAACGAGCACCGGAAGTATTGCAGCTGATCGCAGCTCGACAGCTCAGCTGCTCTGCACATGCTAGTTGATAAATGGTTGCAATAAACTTGCTGTAGTGTCAACTATATTGGGAGTCGTCCTACTGAATGTGCATTGGCGATGCTTCAACCTAAATATAAGAAGTGTTAGTTTTATCTTAAAAGGTCGCTTGGGCAAGTTTCGATTTTTGTGTCATGTTTTTTCTCTTTTGTAGCCGTGCTGTTCACCCTCGATAATTTTTTTTTTGTGGTACAGTTATTTTTACAACAGGAGAGTCGCTCATGGACAACTAGGTGTCGTTGTATTTCTGGAATGATTGTTGCTCACTCCTTAGAAACAAAAGCATTGTGAACATCAGGGAAATAATTGTTGTGGGGCATCTTCATTGAGAAACTGCAGACATGGTTTCTAACGACCTCGGCAGTCTTGTCACCTTACGCAGTACCATTGAGCTCCTTCATGGAACAAGCAATGTCCGTGTTACTTTCATGAAACTGTGCACGTCCCTCAGCCCCATGCACTTCTTGAAGGGCCTGCAGTGCTCCTTTCATACATAGCTATCTTCGCTCAAAAGCAGCCCCGTTTCTTTAACTTCTTCCGTCAGTTTAACAACTTCGAATGTAGTTTGACATGATGCAGCTGAAAATGATGTGATTTCCACACAGGCTTCATTCCCTAGTTCGGACTTGTTGGGTGTCATGGCTTCAGTGCTGTCATTTGACGAGTTGTTTTCGCGAATGACAGGCCTGTCTTATGAAGCAGCATTGCCCGAGCACTCGGCACACGACTGCGCATTATCTTCTATTTCCAAACTTGGCCGCTTCTTCCTTTGAGCAGGCATGCTCGTCGTGCTCATGTAGCTTGATAACCATGGAGCACTGTCGGCACAGCCATTGGCAAAAGTTCCCTGAACTTTTCTGTCTTCTTGTAGTCCTACTCCATAAAATGCAAGGTGCACACCAGGGACATGAGCCATACTGTTCCTTTTTGCCGGGTCCATCAAGGGAAACGTTTCGCAGCCATGCTGCCCTGCGTTCTGCGTTAATGGGAAACTCATGGTAGCGTATTCGTGGGTCCTTCGATGCATCCGTGGAACACAATGGCACAGCAGTTGCGCGGCATTTTGTCTAACGCATAAAATATCATACATGCGCAAAGTGTCTTGAGTGACACTCAGTGAGAGTGATTCATGTAGAGAAAAACAACCACTATCTCGGCCTACCTGCTGAATCAGCGCTCCTCCCCACCTGCGCTTCCTGTGGAGCTACTATTGGCGTCCACCTCGCGAAATGCGGCGACAGCTGTTAACTACTCCTCCACGCTCTCGTCCATTGCAGGCTATATCGTTTGTTTTTCATAGAGGGGCCGTTGCCATAGTATCCGTCTAGCGTAACTTTAAGGTGGGGGCACGCCCACCTTACACCTTGTGATTTTTCCCTCCTCGGTGGCACCTCAGCCGCCTGCTGTCTCCCCATACTTATCTTGTTTTCGCTGGCTAATCAGAGCACTGGAGACGCTGTGCGGACGTGCTTAGCATGAGCTCCGGTTCGGTGACCGACTATCGGCGAATCCGCTTTGTTCTGGACTTGCTGTTAGTGGGCTCGTTTGCAGGAGGTTGCCCTGTACCTACGGACACCACTCATATAGGCAAGTTTGTCCCCGTTTTAGGATTTTCCAAGATTTTCCTATCAACCCCGCGGTGACAAGGTTAGGCCTATCTCCTAGGCCAAGCCTGGGCCACGACACCCGACACCGGGCTTCCATCATGCGCCTGGTGACCATGGGCCTTGTTAGGCTGAAGATGGAATACTACGTCGAAGGGAAGACTATAACGCCCGAAGATTTTGAAGCGGGAGAGTGGGCTCCAGTGCTGAAGGCACAGGACCGATTCAAGAAGACCCTGCATGGGGACAACGCCAAGAGTAAGCCTTGCGAGACACAGGCCGGCAGCGACAAGCGCAAGACACGTGGAACGCAGCAAGTCAAACAGGGGAAAGCGCCGGTGTGGAAGAAACGCAAATCATTTCTCAAGATGCCAGCCATGGATTTCAAGGTTGTCTACAGGCCCCAGAACTGGGACTTGAGTGTCGTGACAGTGAGAGAACTCGGATGTGCACTGAGAGCAGCAGCGCCTCTAACAAGTGGGATAGCCGGGGAAGAAGACATTGTGCGGGTTAATGGTACAAACAACACGTTGACAGTGAGCACAACGTGTATGAATCGTAGTGGGGCATATGCGACTGTGAAGACGCTCAAGCTGGGTGATCGTGACCTGCCGGTTTCGGGGTTCGTGGCGCCGTTGGAGAACTCCGTGCGTAGAGTGATTTACAATGCGATGGATGCCCAGTGGAAGAAGTTCGGGCCGGATTCCTGAAGGAGAATGAAGGCAGAGATATTCTGGATGCGAGACCTCTGGGAAAGTTGAAGGCAATTCAGATTATGTTCGGGGGAAAATGCATACTCCGGCAGGTTACTTACTGGAACTATCTGTACGCTGTGATCCCGTATAGAAATTTAGTCGAGACCTGCTACAACTGCAGATGTGTTGGACATCGAGCGGACGTTTGCTATCGTCCGAAGAGTAACCTGTGTCACAATTGCGGGAAGGGCCATTCTGCCCCACCAAAAGAAGAGCCACTCACGTGCACACCGGACGCAAGCCACCGACAGGCCGGCAGCAGAGCATCGAAAGAGAGAGCGAAGCTGGTAACGATGACCGGTCCTCGAAGGCCACGGAGCGGTCATTGAGCGGTAACGAAGGCACAAGCAAAAGCAGGGGCCAGTCGAGTTTTTTCCCGCCATTGCTAGGGAGCGGGAGCGACCAAGATGGCGGACGAGTATTCAGTCCCAACAGCTACG